GCTGTTTTCCCCCAGTTCCTTTCTAGGAAAAACTTCCAGAAAAAGAGGTCTTTGGGTCTGATCTGAGATTTCAGGTCAACTTCGGCCATACACAGATCCAAGGTGGCAGCCCTGGAATACAAAGGTCTGGACCCACTGCCAAAATCAGACACCAGTGGGCAGGCCCTGGAACCTACTTCCTTCCTGCTTGGACCAGGCCAGGTCTGGGGCAACTGTGTGCCATGATCAAATCAAGAGGAAGATCTGGGGCTCTCCATACAGAGCCCAGGCATAAAGTAGCAGGTGCGGGTAAGGCCTGATCCTGTGGTGGTAAAAATGCCCCCTCCTGGTTTCTAGGTTTGTTGGTAGGTAGAGTGAATTCGGGTGTGGTACTAGAGGAACAGTGTGCAAGGAATCAGAATAGAGAAGATAATAGGGTAAAATACAAACAGGGCAGTGAACACATGTCATCCTGAGCCAATGATGGTTCTAGTGGGTCTCAGAGGCTGACATAGGCAGTAAGAACAGAATCACTGTCCAGAGAAGAGCCTGTAAGCCAAACCTTAACACATCTGGAGCATGGCCTTGCTCTACCTCCCCGCATAAAGCCCAGGTTATTGATTCATAAGGCTCCATCTCAAACATACTGAGGCTTTCTTGGCCAGCTCCAGTGCTAGCCACAAGGACACAAACATTGAGGAGAAAGTCCCATCCTTCAGGTTTTACCTTCACAATACCAAAATCTTTCATACAAATTGAACAGCTCAATTGCTTTGAGAGCAACTCATGTCTCATGACATCATGAGTACAAAGAGTGACATGTTAACTTGTTCAGTCGAGCCCTTTATGACATTAAGTTTTTTATGGAAACCATAAAAAACTGCAGCCCGAGTTAGCTCTTCAGAGGGATAAATGGTACCCCAACATTGTGGTAAAGAGAAAAACCAAAGCAAGGTCACAGGCCAGCATAAGACATGACTCAAGAGAATGCCTCTCTCCTCTCCCAACAGGCCCCATGGAAGGCAGAAAAGGAGGTAGCTGTTTTTTTGGCTTTTTTTCACATGTTAAACTTGTAGTACCTGCTCTCAAGCCTGTATTGACGTGTGCAAGGAGGGGTGAGGCTGGCAGTGTACAGGGTGCATTGACTGATATACATGCATCTTCATGGCTCCATAATTAATGGAGCCTCACCTGCAGAGAAGCTGGTGTTCGCCAAGCTGCATCCCACATCTGAAAATCACCTTGATCAAATAGGCTTTATTTTTCCCCCAATCAGTTTTTTTTTTTATATTATGATGTATTGCAAACAAATAGGAAAGATGGGATAGGGGAAGAACAAGAAAGAGTTTCAGTGTCAGAAACTCTAGATGGAAAGACAAGAATGCAGGGCACTGGTCTGGGATCTGCCTCTCACCTGCCATTGTCCCTTTTTTGCCCTGGCCTCCATCCAGAGAGCCTGGGGAAGGGCAAAGATGAGGTCAGAGAGGTTCTTAGAAGTCAAGCTGGAGACTGTGCACCTGATGGTGACCATAGGGAGCCAGTGAAAGATTTTTCAATGGGGAGATCTGACCAGATTTACATTTTAGAAGGATTGCTAACTATAGTCTACACAAGAGTTGCCTATTGTGTTTAGAACTAGGTGAGAAATAAGAGGTGTCTGATCCAGGACAGTAGGGGTGGGAAGGCTGGGGAGGTAGGCTCTACTGTAATATCTTATGAGATGAATTTTGAGGACTCAGTGACTAATAAACATGGCTATGACAGTGCGGATTACATAGAGATTCCCAGCTTTCCTGCCAGAGTTAAATGGGGTATATCCAGCTGAGATGGAGAACCCAGGAAGGAGAAGGTTAGGCAAGAAATCCGTGAGTTTCATTCTAAAAATGGTACATCTAGAGTTCCCACTGGACATGTGGGTGGAAATTTTCATAGAGCCAGAAGCAAGTGAGTCTAAAACCAGGAAAGAGCTCTTTAGAAATGGATGTTGGGGATTGGCTTAGCATCCAGGGAAAGTGTGAAGAGTGAGATTTCAGGCTCCTGTTCAAGGCTGCCTGTGGGGATATCACTTCAGGGATTGGTGGAGGAAGCCTGTGGACCAGAGAAGTTCAAAGACAACCAGTGTAATGTTGCATATCTCTTCCCATTCTGTCTCTATGAGTGTTTACAAAATACTCAGGATCATGGGTGAAGTTCTTGTTTGGTCTTCTTTCAGTCCACACATAAAGCAAGATGGGTCAGTGCAAATCCTTAACGTTTCAAACCACATCGTCTTTCTGCAAGGCTGCAATTATACCAGCATGTGCTAACCAAACAAGCATTTCACCATGTAGACTATATTTTTAGCTGAATGCCATCAATTTGAAAAAAAAATGTAAGTAAACCACTTTTGGCTATTAACTGTTGTGACAAAAGCATAACTATTAAAAATGTAAACATTACTGCTCAAATTGAAAGAGGTCATTGTAATGGCATGAGTAAGTGATTGGACCATATTCTCTTGCTCTGTACTTTGAATATCAGAACTTGAGTCTTTCTGATGAAAACAGATAAAGACCAGGGAGGCTGTTTGCTTTTAAGGTAGGTAGTTTTAGAAGTTTAAAAAAATGATTAATTGTGTTTCTTACATTTATAGATAAATCCAATGACATAGGCCAGTCATCTACTAGATTGTATCTGCAGATAATAAGCTAAAGCAGAGTCTCATAGCAATTCAACATGCAGCTTGAGTTTAAAACATATAAATAAGCTATTGAGAAATTTGTGGGGGGAAGGAGAAATCAAAAGATCTGGGATGGCACTGCACTCTCACCATCCTCTGGTTCCTTACCTATAAAATAGGTATGGTAATAAATTGAAATCAAGGTTGTCAGACAATTAAATGTGTATGGAATTTGCCTTGTGTTGTCAAATAGGTTGGACATAGGTGATTTCCACTGGCGTCTTACCTTCTGAGAGACTTGGCAAGGGTCTGTCTTGTAGCCCTGGAAGGTCAATCGAAGAGCTCATAGTGAACCTATACTTCTGTCTTGGAAGTTTCTTTGTCCCATACAGTTTTTACTTACTCTCTCCACTTTCCTAACATCAAGAAGATTATATGATTGACTGATAGAACACCAGCAACCCAGAGAGATATTGTACTGCAGCCCAGGGCTATACTTGCTATTTTTATTAAAATTCTTATTAACTTATAGCCCAAGAGTTTTTAAGCCAAGCCTGTTCCCTCGATTTGATTAGAACAATTTGTGTGCCATGTTCTGGTCCCACTTTGTGCAGACATAGTGAAGACCACAGACAAGTGATACTGCTCTGAAGTTACTAGACTCCTCGCTCCCTCCACCATACCCCTCCCACCCTGTGCAACACTTGAGTTTCACAATTACACATTCATTCCCATTCTTTTGAAACTCCAAATATCCCTAGAAAAAAATATTCACCAGCCATATGTAGCTCATGGATGCTGAGTTTATTGGCTCCTATTCTGGGGAAAGGGAGCTCTTTTGAAAGAAGAATCCAGCAAGGATGTGGTTCGTAGTAGAAAATATACCATTCCAGATGAAGAGGGACAAAAGGGAGTGAGAAAAAGGAACTTGAAGCATTGGGCATAGCTCATAGGATTTCTGAGAGCAGCTGTGTCCAAACGCTCTACCACTTCCCTCAGTAAATGAGTAGGATTCTTCATGGACAGGTGGGGTTAGGTCCGTTTTCTGGGCTGTGAATGAATTCCCCACTCTGTTCTTTCCACCTGAGCTTCATGATGATTTTATCCTTCAATTGATATTTGCTTAAGGGGCCTCACTGAATTACTCACATGCAGAATTACATTAATAGGCTGTCTTAAGCTTAATATCATCACCTTGGTAATCTGCTAAACTCTAGAGAACCTTAAAATAGCAGCTCTTTTTGCAACTTACTGAGTAGAAGCTATGTCCTCCCAGACATAAAATCTGCACTTTGTGATTTGTATTTGTGTTCGTGTCAAGCAGAGTTAAGGCAAGAAGGGTGGATCTCTAGCATATGGACAGATGTGATGGCCATGTATAATTAGTAATTTAGCTCTTAAAGTCACTCATAAATGGAAAATTGGATCTGAGATCTTAGTCTGTCCTATGCCCACTACTTTGTGCCTTTTTGGATTGAAG